CTTTTTTAAATTTTGCCTTCCACATCATCAAAAAAAATATAAAAAATGCCACATAAGCAGAGTTAACGATCCAAATTAACAGAAGGACTAACGGAATGCATTTTGTATAGTTGAGGGATCAAAAAAGTGCAAAAAATTGTTGAGGGACCAAAAATGTGCAACTCACTAAAGTTGAGGGACCAAATTTAGCATTTAACCATCTCTTAAAGATGTGTTTGGCTTGAGAACATTCTCGAGAAATGACCCAGAAATGGCCAAGTGGCCGTGGACGTTTGGAAACCACACCAAGCCCTGGACGTCCGGAGGATTAGCTTTTGGAGAAATGACCTAAAATAATTGATTATGTTGCCTGTATTAAGCTATTTTAACTTGAAAATTACACACATTCGGACATGATTATAATAACCAATAATAATGTTATTGTTATCAAAATCAAAATTATAAAATATTATCTTTTAAAATATTAATTTTGTTTAATTAGATTAATAAAATTAATTAATTATTAAAATTATTAATTAATAATTAATAAAACAATTAATATTTATTTATTAATTAAAAAATTAAAATCAGTCAATAAATTGATATTTTTATACATAGCTTAGAAAAAAAAAAAACCAAAATTTTAATGGTATTAACAATATTGATGGGGAAATAACTAAAGAACCACACCCCATATATTCAATTAAGTTTAAATTAGTTTTTTTTTTTTTGGCCAAATTAAGTTTAATTTAGTTTATTATTGATTTCTAATCACTTACAAATAACAATCATTTTACTAAAATAATCAACTATTTATGTGTAAGTGTAGATTAACACAATTTGACTCTTTCCAATTGAAAATTTGACGGACAAAAAATAGCAATTCAAATGAAGTTCAACAAAAACCATACAGTGTAAACAAATAATCAACAGTGTTCATTTTTACTAAATATAACCCATCAGCAACTGAAAAGATATATAAGACAACAAGACGTGAAGGCGTTACCTACCTCTCTGTTAAGACATTTTTGCTGTTGTTGTCGTTGGATTTTTTCATTCAAATTCTCTCCCTTCATGCAGTCCTGATTCCATCATTTCCTTTCCTTTCCTTTCCTTTCGCCGCTGGTTTCAAAGGAGAGGTGATGCCGCCGAAGCTAGGCCCTTTCCTTCGTCGTACGCTGGAGGAGATAAGGAGGCTAAAATCTCTTTCAAAGAAACAGCTGCTCAGGGATGGGGAAAAATTAAATACCCTTTCAAAGAAACAGCTGCTCAAGGATGATGAACATTCTAGACGCAATTCTGACAATGAAAATGATCGGATGAGTGTATCTTCTGAAAATGCAGGGTCTGCAACGGTGGCACCAGCACCAATAGAGACAGATGAAATATTGGTTCGAGCAGAGGCTAAAAAGGTGGTTGAAAATGAAGGAATACAGGAGGAGGTGGTGGAGGCAGTGATGGCGGCGATAAAGAAGATGGCTTTGGAAGAAACGAATGCTGAGGAAGAGGATAAGGATGAAGATGAAGAATACGGAAGGCTTAGGAGGTTAGATGGTGAGTTTCTCTATCCTGCGTCGCCGAGTTTCAGAGTATACTGCGTCGACACATTGGAAAATGAGGATCAGGGTAAGCATTTTGAATTGATATCAATTATTAGTACAATAAAAACCTTAACAAAAGCTGCCAAAATGAAATGTCCATAATCACCTCAAGATGTTGTTTTTGGATGTGTGCAGAGAAGGAAGATGACACAAAGACAGAAGACTTGCAGAGGGATGAGATTGTTGATCCTTCAAATTCCAGTGAGGTACACGAACTGAATGACAATTAATAGCAGAAACTCAATTCTTGATTCCTTCAGAAAACAAAAAGCAAAATTTCCCATGAAGCCAAACAGAAGCTAATTTCTCATACATTCTACATTTTATCATGTTTCAGGGATCTGTGGCAAAGAAAACACAAAAAAGAGGAATGAAATTTAGGAGCGTGTTACCTAGGGGAATGAAATCTTGCTACTAACCAACTTCTTGTTGCACCCACCCATGTGGGTTCATGTCTAATTGCTGCAAAAGCACACTTCGTGATGATGCTAGGTAGAAGAACAATGCATGCCCTTCCTTTTTTTTCCTTCTTGTTTTCCATTTCTTGGTCATGGTAAGCAAAGTTGGTTCACCTACCACAATAATGAGGCACGATAACACAAATGATTGGAGAAACTAAACCTCTTTGGCTTAACCGATTCTGCTCTATGAAGAGGACAAATGTTGTTTTCTTCTCTTTTGGCCACTTAGGCCATCAGTGAAAGCTATAAGAACCAACTAAAGTACTGTCATTAAGTATACTTTCCATCAACGCTATTATATGCTATCCTTTTTCCCAAAAGAAAAATATGAAACAAAGCTCGCAATCTTTATCTTTGCTTACAGAAAGCTCTAGTGCAGGTCGCTTCATTTGCAGACTCACAAGTCTAAATGAATGAATTCTCTGGCATCATATATGCAAAAGAAAACATACCACCAGATATTAACAGTAAATTCAAACAATGTATCTACTTAATTATCAGTTACTAATTGCCCACAACCGAATTGGAAAAGATGTAGACTCAAGATTTTATTGCCTCTAATGGCTTAACTGCAATATTCTCAGCTTATACTAACATAAAGTTAAACATAAAAAGAGAATTAAAAACAGATGCAAACAGCACATCTAGATAATAGATATATTTGTAGAGTACTAGAATCAGCAAACATGGTCACTGCTTAGTTCTTATACAATGGGTTGATGTTAGAAACTACCACACCATGCCATTTCATATACCTGAAGACAGGGGAAAAACAAAAAAAAAAACAAAATAATATTAATAAAAAAGAAGCAGGGTAATTAAGAAGGAAAAATGCAGGATGTTCAAATATTAGCTGTTCATACCATGCCTACTTGCAGGAGAAGGTTCCTGAAAGGAACTCCTCATCCTCCACAAAAACTTGCAAATTCTTTGACTTGAGTAAGAAACCAACAGCTTCTTCATCAAATTTGAGGAGAAATGCCAACTTGATCAGGTCAGAAACTGATTTTATGTGATCTTCTTTATCCCAAAGTACTCCCTTGGCTATTTCTTCAGAGAAAGATGACGCATATTCAAAGAGATTCTTTTGACCAGCAATTCTGTCCCTCTTTAGTGTGAAAAGCTTCGAGTTCTTTCTGTCCCAATGTATCATTTGGCTTGCTCCCACCTCTAAGATTTTTCCAGAGGACAGAGATAAACTATAACTCAGAGTAGATGGTTCAGAAGTCTCATAGACAGTGACATTGAGGAGGCACTGAACAGCTTTATGCCTTTCTTCTGCTTCCATTGCTAAAGGACCTGCTAGAAATCCAAGAAGAAGTGAAATCAGCCCTCTTCCAATAAAAAAATCCCTTGGATTAACCTGCTTAAGCTCCAAGCCATATATCAAGGATAATTCTTCCTTTTTCACAGACTCAGATAATGTGCAAACCCCAATTTTCCTGTATAATTCAAGCAACCTAGCCCGAGGGATATTGGGTGAGCTTCGGTGAGGATACCAGACAAAGAGTGGAGAGTGTTGGACAAAAAGATCCTTGAGCTGAAGGTCATCCGCAATAAAAACATCTTGCTTGTCAAATAACAATACTCCATCTGAACTTGAATCCACAGGCAACTTCACCAACCTTTCAGCAAGAATTCTCTCTATTTCTTCTGAAGTCTGGTTCCTTAGAACATACCCCCAAAATGCACAGCACTCATCATTTGACAACTGAGATCTTGAGGCTTCCCAAGCTGTCCAAATTTTGCAATAGTCATCAAGTGAAGGATAGGATCTAACCCCAAAAGCACGGGAGAAAAAATCTAGTGGTACTCTTTTCGCGTAATATTTCTCCAAAACATTCAACTGCGAACCAAAGAGACCATCTTTGTCATGTAGAACACATTTACCAGGATCAACCCAATGCCCATTGTTGCTTCCATTAGGAATCCAAATTTTTCTTGTTGCCTCACTGTCAGGTTCCCATCCTCTTTTATTTAACAAATTGTATATTCTATTGATGGTGGACAACTTAGACTGGAAATGGAGGTGGTGACCAATCAATTTACAACCATTTTCTACATCAGCAGTAACTCCTATAGCATTCAGCTCTTTTCTGTAGGAGTTAATATCAGAACCATAAAATTCTTCATCGATGAATGGCCCGTCAATCTGCTCTAAGCCATAACTATTGTCAAACAGCAAGCACTCATCAGGACTCATATACCCAGTGTTGGTCTTTAACCATTTCTTGGAGACTTTTTTCAGAAACCCCTCTGGCAAGGAGCCCTTCCCTTCTAATAAAATCCGCACACAATTAAGCAATGAAAGCGCAGTTGCAGGAGCTATGTGGCGAGGATCATGGGGAAAGCAGAGACCATCAACCACAAGCTTCACGCCACTTTTCAATTCAACAACAACTCCAATGCTCTTAAGCTCATCTTTATAGCTATGAATGTCCTTCCCATAAAAATTGTCAGAATCGTCAATGAAAGGAATGCGAGTAATCGGAGAGATGGACTCCCATTCAGGACCAAATAGAACACAATCCTTTGGATACCTAATATAACCAAGACGAGTCCGCAACCAAGTTACCTCTTGGACACATTTCTTCAGACCTGGAGGAAATTTATGGGGAGATCCCTTCAGCTTTCTATAAAATGAAAGAAATGACATAACGTTTTCTCTTCCAATAGAAAACGAAGATGCTTTCTGCCTAAAACTGGAGGCAAAGGCTTTGACTGCATCCTCAAATTCCACAATGGCACCAAATTTCTTCAACTCATCTTTGTAAGAGAAGATGTCATTTCCATAGTACTCATGATCAATTATCGGGAAACAATTGAAAATTTGAAGAAGGCAACCCCAAGCGGGATCAGGCAGAAAGCATTCTTGTGGAGATCTGTAGCCCAGATTTGTCTTCAAACACTTAACATCACCAAGTGCTGCAACAAGTTTCTCATTGGACTCTGGATGCTTCATGCATCTTAATATCGAAAGAAAGACCTCAGCTTTCAAAGATCTTAAGCATGATTTCGGTTTCAAGTACTCAACCAAAAGTTTATAATTTTCATGGAAGCCAACTACAACACCAAGTAACTGGAGTTCTGTTCTGAAACATAAGATTTCTTCGCCATAGTGGTCAATATCAATGAAAGGGATATCACTGATTTGTGATACATGTTCCCACTGCTGATCAAACAGGACAGCTCCAACTGGAGACCTATCACCATGACTCGTCCTAAGCCATCTTCCCTTCTCAATGCTACATATGAGTTCATCGGGAGGAAGAAATTTCTTTCTGAGAAATCTGATGAAATTAAGGATGGAAAGCACATTCTCTTTACTTAGAGTGGATGAAGCTGCCAAAGACATGAAATGCTTCCCAATAAATTGACATGCCTCTTCAAATTCAAACATTACTCCCATTGTTTTCAGCTCCTCCTTGTACCCAAGCACTCTATCCCCGTAAAAGCTCTGATCAATAAGCGCAATGTCAACGAGCACTGATCCATTCTGCAAAATGTCCCCCCACGATGATGAATAGAAGAATGACTGTGAAGGGGGTCTATAACTGGAAGAGCCATTAATTTTAACTTTCAACCAGCTGCCATTCCTCAGACCTGTCAAGAATTTCTCTGGAAGGTTCATTCCTCTTAATTTCAGATTATGAACCCAATCCAACAGTAGGAATGTGTTTTCCTTTGTGAGTGGTGCAGAT